AGCGCCCCGCTGCCTTCCCTCCGCTCGTTGAGGCACTCCAGGCGCTCGCGGTCGATGCGCAGGTAAAGGCCCCAGGCCTGGCCGCGCCGCTCGGGAGGCTCTTCGTGGTCGTCGCCATGGCAACAGCTGCCCCCGCCGTGACTGTGCCCGTGAGACATGGCCTGGCGCGAGGGGACCCCTTCCTGCAGCAGCAGCCGCCGGCAACACGCACGCTCGTCAACAACAGTGGGGGAGCGCAGGCGCAGTGCCGTTTTTCCGGGGCATTCCCGTCACGTGACGAGGGGCCGTGCCCTCTCGCTCCCCAGGCAACCGGGTGGCTGCTTTGCCTTCGCTTGCCGAACACGTGAAGACTCACGAAATAAAACCTCATGCCACGCAAGCCGCGTTCTGCTCAAGGAAGCCCGGCTGGAATGGGCTCGCGTGGGGGACTAAGCCCCAAACTAGTTTATGGACCCCATGGTTGGGCGCGTATAGCCCACTAAGCCAGTCCTGGGGCCCTCGAAATCAAAATTAATTGCTGCCCTATGTTGAAAAATAATTCAATATTAAAATCCCATCAAGCCATCATGAGCGGGAGCGCATGGGTCAATTTTAATTTATAATGCAGTAAATATTGACTAACGTAACCCACACAAAGACTCTTTTGGGGGTCCTCTGTAATTTTTAAAAGTGGGAAGGGTCCTGAGAGCAAGCAGCTTAAGAAGCATTACACTAAGCTGTAAGGACTTGGTTTGCCCAACAGCTAAGCCATAATTTGTGGTTTTTGTAACCTCAAAGACTATTTCACATAGCATGCTGAGACCAAACCACAGGGGAATGTTCACAAGCACACTTACTCAGGCAGTTGAATGGATCGTTTCATGGGCTTGCACAATCCATTGACCTAGAAACTAATGTCGCGGGCTGGGTTCCCACCGCCTGCTGAGCCAAAGAAAGGAAAACTAAAGCCGACCAAGTTGAGCATATTGTGCCAATGCAGCCCATAGATTTGCCACCAGCCCTGTTCAGCAGACTGGGTCACTCCAACCAGGGACAGTGGAACGTGTGAAGCCAGCGGCCTTAGAGCCTTCATTTTTTATCCTGTGCTGGCTGGAAAGTTGCTGATTGGGAAGGCGACACTGTTATTTGGGTCAGAGTAAACTTACTGGTGTTGATGTCCTGCCTTTCGATGATGATGATGATAATACGAACAGCCAATACAGAAATACAAAAGCTAAAATGTAAAATGACAACACGGAACAAAAGAAACCTCAAAGGGGGGACTCCCACTCAACTGACCCCTAATGTGGGGAGGGGGGGAGAGCCAGGTCTTAAGGGCTTTCCTAAAGGGAAGGAGTTGTCTGGGGCCTGTTGTATATCAGGGGCAACCACAGAAAAGACACACCTCCCAAGTCCCATAAAATGACAAAAAAGAAAGGACCTGCAGCATGCCCTCTCTGTGGGAGCATGTGGGGTGGGCAGATGGTCTTGGGGGAAGGCAGTGCCTCAAGTAACCTGGTCCTCACAACAGACTGCTTAGTACTCCAATTTACTCTCACAATGGGTGAATCAGAGATGAGGTCCAGCCACAATCCCCCACTGAGCCCCATAGCTGAATAGGAATAGAACTGCCTCTCTCGTCCTCATCCCACACAAACTATCAGGAGAGCGACACTGTTACTTATGGAGTGCATACACTACCTCAATTCAGCAGGACTCTAGGTGGTTTACAGCGTATGTAATACACACACACACACACACACACAGATTTATATATCTCATGATCTAGCAAAGTTTTCTATCACTGGCTCCAGAATCCATTCACTCAACACATTATCTACCACATTTTAACCTAGCATGTAGTGCAAATCAATCCCTTGCTTGAACCTAGAAAACTGGGTTGTGTAAACCATGGGTAAATGTGCTCTACTAACACTAGAGTGGAATACAGATTGAACTCTGGGTTTTCAAAAGTAATTACTTTAATATCTTTGGGAATGACCGGCTTAATCTTTGGAAGAGTCATGCTATTACAGTCTGGGAAAAGTTTTATCCAAATAACCCATTTTAAAACAATACAGTGCATTGCTATTATTTCCACTGCAACTGAGTTAGTTAAGGCACGTCTTCTTTCATAGATTTTGGAGTTTAATTGTGGATCCCCAATTATCTTTTTTTTTTTTTAAATCCCCAGATGCAGAGATAAACTACTTGCAGTTTATCCCTCAAAACCTAGAGTATATCCTTCAGAGTTCATTGCAAAGGGTTTTATTATTCCACATATATTTAACCATACTGAAGTTACAAGTATGAAATACAATTAATTTACCTTTAAAATAAATCAATATTAATGTTTGTTCTAGCCACCCCAAAATTTGGAATGCAAGCAACAAATAACAGTCCTTGGCCTCCCCTGAACAGTGTAAACAGCCATAGAATGTGATCACAGAAGGGGCTGATGAATTTGAATACTAGTTTTTAGCTCTTTCTCTGAGTCAGAGCTGAAACAGTAGACTAAAAAGGATTTAAAGTGAACTCCAAAAAAATGTTGGATTATCCCACACTTCCTCAACATAACGTCTTCCAGATATACTGTAATTATAAAGCCCAGCACTTTGTGGAAGAACCAGACAGCAAAGGCTCGACTTTTCCACATACGTATTGCCACGATTGGGAGACTGTCTCCTTCAAGATAAATAACTCTCTCCAGACAGACCTTTTGCACAATGCACATGAATGCATGATGAACCAAAAAACCATCTACATTTAAAGAGCTGGAAGGGGGAACTATACAATATTCTTTGAGCAAACACCAAATCTTAAATCTAGGAGAGTATCCGGAACTAGCAATACTGAATTAAAGCCACCTCCAGTACTTTCTCTGGATACAAGACAAGGAACAAAACCAAGGTGCCCACACCAATAGGAACCAAAATACATAGAAAAGAATATGGAACTAATTATGTGCTTTCCATAAGTTTTTTGACCACCCCAGTTCTTCAGCCAAAAGGTCCAGAACTGACCTAGGCATCTCTTTGGATAGCCAAGTACATACAGTACTTCATAACCAAAGTAATACATTTCCCATTTCTCTCCCCAATTCATCTATATTGCATATACATATTGCCCACCCTTTTCACTGTATCTTAGAAAAATTGCTATGCAAGTCCTTGGCCTGTGTTTAAGTGAAGTTCTGTTGTTGCCCTTAATCCCTCACAAAACCTCATCAAGTCCTCATGGAACCTCTGTTTATAGCTTAAAAATTTCAATTATCTTTCACAGTCCATTCCCCCATTTTCTTGGCATAGAAGCATGGCCTGGTGAACAGTCTAGGAATTATTACTTTATTTTGGGGGGGGAGGGGAATACAGTTCCATGTCTTGAGAGCTGGGGAAAAAAAGTAACCGAGACAAATTCCAGTGTTTGGCTTTTATTGATACACAATGTAATTCCTTTCTTATAAGTTATCTAATTAAAATATTTATCTTGATAGTTACCACCAAAAAAAGTAAAATAGAAAATTATTTACAAGGGGGGAATCAACAGGCAAACGTATTACCTTTTCCTTGTAGTATGCGGGGGGGGGGAGCAGCAGCAGGGGGCCACATTTTCATATGGCTCTTTCATGTGTAGTGTGCAACTGAAAATCGCACCCATTTTAAAATATGTGGGATCCCCAATGAGAAGCAGAAGCCGAGTTGTCATACTCTGCAGCTGATTCTGTTTGTGTATCCCCCATCCATTAAAAAGGAGGTTCCAAAATGCAGTTAAGCCAGTTCATGTAACATTTGCCTGAATTTAAAGTCACATTAAATAAAATAAAAATCACCTTCCACATTAGAGAGGGATGAATGATCTGGAAGTTCCTACAACCCTTTCCATGGAAATGCTGTATAATCCAGCTTGCAGTGCTGGCGTTTCAGTTCCCAGAATCCCCCGAGACAGCACTGGGAAAGAATGTGGGAACTGATGCCTAAAACATCTGGAATATGCTAGCTTGGGTAAGCTTGCGGTACGTTATTTGAATTGTAATTTTAATGAGAAAAAGTAATCAACTAATCCAAAATATTATAGTGGAACATATCCAATGGCGTCACCCATAAACAGTACCAACAATGCAGTGGTTAACCTAGAAGTGTTGTTCTTGCTCAAGAAGGCAACAGCAACTGTGTTTAAAGGGTATCTCCCCATCGCTGACAAAATGAGCCTACAAGGCCTGTTGTTGACACAAGCTTGAAAAGTCACTCTTGCGGCTACCATCCACTACTGCTGTCACTCCACCTGGTGACAGGTTTGTGCTACAACAAAGTGTCCTGATAGCATTACCCAACCTTCCCTAGCATCTATCCTCCAGGTGTATTGGACTGGAAACCCCATAACTTGTAGCCAGCAGGGGTTAATGGGAGTTGAAGTCCAACACAACTGGGAAGTGCTGTATCAGACTGGGAATGGTGTCCTGCAGTAAACCTGCTGCAAAACAAGAATATCACAGTGCCAAGAAAGAGGCTCCAGCCAGGTAATTATTTCAAGTTCTCCAGATACTTCCTTGAATGGGAAAAGGGGCTGGGGGGAAAATCCACCAGTATTTCCAAGCTAACAGTTGGACCAACAGAGACTCCTGTAAATCTCCTTTTCCTTTCTGTGGTTGAGAATTCTTTCCTTTGGTCTACTCCTGCCACCAAATCCAATTATGAAAAGGAGAAAATACACCACGTACGACAACTGACAGAAGAATATATAAGTAACTAAGTCAAATACCACAAAATTAAGTACAGCAAAGCAAAAGGAGCATGATTTTTTTTTTTAATTCAACATCACATCATTAACTTAAAAAGCTACACAAAGTTTCTGGGGATTTTAAATCAGCTCCAAAACTGCATGAGGGAGACAGCGCCTTTTTCAAACACCATCATATAATTAAAATTTTATATGCACTTATATATTAAAAAAAAGTTGGAACTTCAAGAGACATTGTTTGTTAGACTGGACAGAGAACATCAAGAGGGTTTTCTTATCCCGCATGGCACACACTTCATAGTCCCCTCCAGCTCTACATTTATAGAAGAATTACCATTTTTAAAAGTTAGTAGGGCCTTTGTGACTGCTACTACCGTGACTAATTGGGGGTCAGCAGAAAACCCAAAGGCCAGAGTTCAGAAGGGTGGCACCAGAAGGCCATTGGGAGAACCTCTTTTTCCCCCATCCATGATATCAGGAAAAGGCCAGGTTCCTTCATAAACCTGCCTATGTCAACATTCATTCAACCATGGCACTAAGAAAACACACCATCAAGCCTTCCGAAACCAGGTCTGTCTCCCCCCCCCCACAACACACACTTATCAACATCAGCATAAATAGTATTATCAGCTCAGTGTTCCCTCCAGCACTAAAATAGCAGTAGCCAATAGAGAGTTCCCTCAAAGTCTGAGGATCAAGACAGACGGACCACTCTCAAAACTCCTTTTCCCTGGCTTTTTCTGTGTGTGAAATGTTCTTGTAGATTATTCCACAGCAGATGCTGCAGCTCCAGACCAAAACCCGCACCCTTGGCTTGGCCCATGTTCTGCGTTCTGGGGCATCCAAAACTCCTGGATGAGAGGGGTTTTGTCAATGGAGCTCTTTAAAGGATAACAGTGAATTAAAGTGCCTGTTCTGTTGTCAAAAGCCAGAAAATATTTTCTGACTAAACTGGAGGGACTGAAGAGGAAAATCTAAGGTAAGTCCTTGTTTTCAATTCAAAACAGGGAGGGGAGGGGGGAACCTATCCTCCATATCTTCTACCATCACTATTCATTTTTAAAATAAAAAACTCAGATGAATGCTTAATATTCAGATTTGTGCAAAGTGACTTTTCTTCACTTCCTGAGTTGTCCCTCGGTCCAATGTTGTGCTGCTTTTTTCCTATGAGTTTAAAATAAAGGGTAACCATTTCTTACTTTATTTTTTTTTCTTTGCCAAATGAACAGAATGACGAAAGAGACTGGCACCTCCAGATGTCCCCATACAGAATGGGAAATCAACATGTACCTGGCATAAAGGTTTTAGGCATGAGATGAACGCTTAAGAGCTGGGACTGAACAACAGAAGGGAGAAGAAAGTGATGGCTGGGGATCACTTGCCAGAGGATTGACCAAGATTCTAGAATTCCCAACAGGTCCTTCAGCAGCGGTCGCCAATCATAAAGGGCTTTCTTCATTGACAGTATCTGCAAAAAAAGATGATCTTCCAAAGTGGACACTAGGAGAGGAGATCTGGAGTCTTACACAGTGGCCGAGGGGGGACCGAAAAACACTGCAGATGGTGGAAGGCGGTACTCTTTCCATTCTGGAGTCCAGAAGAAAGAGACTGAAGAAAGAGCTATAGTTTGTGGACCTTCATGTCTCAGCCAGGTGCCAAGACTTCACATCTGCAAAATATTTGGCAGATAAAACCAGGTTATGGGAACAAAGGGAGGAACTGGAAGGTGGTTTTGAACAATACTGTGCTGTTGGTCTTAAACAGGGCTTTGGGAAACTCAAGGACTCCCCAACTCCTCCCCATTTTCCTGTAAGCACTGCTTCCATCAAAGACAAGATTTTTCCTTCGCATTCAGTGAAGCCTGGGTTCCTTTATCTTCGAGAAAATCTGTTTTTAAAAGCTTTAATAGTCTTTGCCATCATAGGTGCAATTTCTGCAAAACAGAGAAAAAGAAAGGTTACTGCATAGGAGCTGCTGCATCAAGATATACAGATGTATACAGAATACAATCCCTCTGGACTTACATTTAAAAGAAAAGGCTTCCACTCTTCATAGTTATAAATATAATGAAGGAAGTAAGCAAATTCTATTTCGCAGGTAGAAAAAATCTTTGCAAGACACACAGTCATTCAGTGGCTAGAGATTTCTTTCTCTAGGGACATAATGACTTACGTATGTACACATCACACTCATTTACACATCACTGTAATTTTGGCTGTAGTGCTGCAAGTTGCACAAAACCAGATGGTTTGCCCACCAAACCATGCCCCTGAATTAGCCCTTTATAGCAGAGGGGGAAGACTGTACGATATGATTCTGTATCGTCTAGAATAGTGTTTCTTAAACTTTTTGCTCTCAGGACCTCTTCCCACTTTTAAAAATTATGGAGGACCCCAAAACAGCTTTTGTTTGTATGGGTTATATTTATCAATATTTACTGTATCAAAAATTAAAACTGATGCATTTGTC